TCCTCATTGGAAAATTTCTGGGTACAGGCATGGCCTGGGGTGACCATGTTGGGCTTCAGCAATGTGCCTTCCAGATAGACATGGTGGTCACTCAGAGCCTTGTAGACAGCAGCCAGTACCTAGAACAGGGCAAGGTTATGTGAAGGACAAGGACTCCCTGAGTGGAACCCTGCCCGCCACATTACCCTGGCCAGGCAACCTACCTTCTCAGTTACATACTGACAGCGCTTTAAGTCATGGTCCCCATCAGGGAGAATTTCAGGCTCCACAATGGGTACAATACCATTCTGTGGGGAGGTAGAGGGTAGTGTGAGGACTCCTGACTGGGAACCCCACCTACAGCTCTCCACCACCATTAGCCAAGATCTTATCTCTAGGACAGTGAATCAAGGCTTCAAAGGCCTCTGCAGATTATAGGGGACAAGCAATTTTCTCAGATTCCCCCTTCGTCCCATTCCTATCACTGTTGTGCAGAGTGGCCTCCACCAGCAAGCCTGGTGCTTGCTGGGTATCTACAACAGTTGCTCTGGTGGTGGTAGATATCCTGGCAGACGGACAGAAAGCTAGCCCAACATGGAACCAAATGAGACAGGAGGTGGCCTACTACGGCCCTGTAGTCCAGTCCCACCTGCTGGCAGATGCTGGCATAACGGGCCAGAACATTGGCATTTTCCATGATGGCAAGGGCTGAGGGAGTATGTTCCCCAATCTTCAGAACACAACGCCACTTAGCAAAGTCAGCTCCATCCTTCTTATACTGGGCACATCGTTCAGACAGCCCATCCAACCCTAAAGAGGAACAAAGTAAAGAGGGGAAGGTTTGGGACCCTATTCATGCTGGAACTCTGGTGAGCTCATGGGGAAGGAGGCAGATCATTCTCACCTTGGGTGGTGGTCTCACCATTGGTTCCGGCCAGGGGCACCACGCCTTTGTCTACCTGCCAGGGCAGAGCAGCAATTCAGTTCTACCACCTGTCCTCTATCCAGCCCAACTTCATCCCTCACTGCAGCCTCTCATATTTTACTGAGTCACATGAGGAAAGACGCATGCAGTATTCGAGAGGAATATTAATTAGAGCAGCTGGCACTACCTCTCACTAAGCAAATCATTTCACTGCTTTGGACTTTACTTTCTCAGCTGTAAATGAGGAAACTCCTTAGAATCATAGGGGGCTCTGAGTTTGGCAATAGAGCACTTGCCTAGCATGCATAAAGGCTTTGTTGGGTTCCATCCCAAGCACCGGCAAAAAAAAAAAAAAAAAAAAGAGGCCCGAGTACATCTATCCCCTTAAGTCTGGGGCAGACCATACTTAAGTCTCTAGACCTGCTAACCCAGCACTCAATCCCTGCCCTATTAATCCATTCCCCCAGATCCATCTCCTAATCTTACACCCCAAGGGCCCTTACCTTAATACCCACAACACCACCCTTGGACTTGATAACTTGGGGGAAGGGACGTCCATCATCCGCCTTCTGGTACAGTGTTTCATGGAAAAGGATCACCCCCCCAATGCAGGGATTCACACGGTCATCAGCAGTCAGCAGCAGCTGGCGGTAGAAGCGCCTGTTCTCTTCGGTGTTCTCGGTGCCAATGGACTGCAGGCGCTTGGCAATGCTTCCTGAAGGGAGGGTTGTGTGGGAGGATAAGGGGATCAGCCTGCCACCTCCAACCCTGGGCCCTCCTCCCCCTTTCTCCTGCCTGTACCGCACCAGTGGATTCATCTGCAGCCAGGATGCCCTTGCCCGGGGCCACAATTCGATGAGCGATGTCAGACAGCTCCTTCTTCTGCTCCGGGGTCAGTGCTGGGTATGGGTAGGGCATGGTGCTGGTGACGGCGCGTTCCTGAGTGAAGCAGACAGGGACAAGTGGTTAGTTGGGCCATCTAATAGTCTCCCCAGGTAAAACAGGACTCCTCCCCTGGAGGCCAGGGCAGTAGCCCCCATCTCCCCTGCCCCACTCCCTGAGGGTTCAGGGATACTTCCTGTCCCAGAACTCTCCCCTATACCCAACTTCCCTATACTAAACCTGCCTCTTCCTGTACCTTTCCTAACTCTGTCTGTTGCTGGGTGTTGCCCAGCTGAGAGTGGGGTTGCTCACTGGCAACTGGGGGAAAGGAAAAAGCCAGAGCCAGGGACAGGCGGGTCATGTTGAAGCTGGACCCATCTGGCCTGCGCGTTGCCATGGGTCACCTTGCCTAGAAACAAAATTGAACCGGGAGTATTTTAGAATATATAAGGATCATGAATAGGGCAGATAGCCCAATACCCTCATCTGAAAGAGCCCAAGAAAGAAATGATCTGTGCTTGAAGCCACACAGCAACCCAAAGGTGAGAGCTGAGATAGAACCCAGATTTTCTGACTGAGGTGCGGCTTCCCTTGTAATCTACCCAGGGCTGGCCCTGGCTTCAAGGACACCCCAAGGTCAGGCTTCTCTCTCCTGGGTGGGGTGGGGAAGACTGTTAGGAAAAGGATTTTAGGAAGAACACTGGGCAATCAGAAGCACAGAGAAAGGGGTATGGAGCCCAGGTGGAAGGAAAGCTTCGCCTCCACACTGCTCAAAGGGGAATGTGTATATGAGAGGCACGCGCCCCACCCCTTCCCTGAAAAGTGCTCCTGTCTGTTCGGCTGCAGCAATTCCAGGCTCAGAATCAAGGTCACAAGATAAGGAAAGATAGTGAAGTGTTAATGGGCTACGGAGCGTGGCAGCTGAGGAGTTTCCCCTCCTCCCCAGGGGCTCCCCGAAAGGAAGCAAACTCCTTCAACCCATCGTGGAACCCTGAGCAGTGTGCGAGCTGACCCTCCCACATCCATCGCTTCTTGGGATCCCTGAATAGGCAATGGGACCCTAATGTTTGCATAGGGTCCTTGCAAAAAATAAAAATACAAGAGGAGGTCTGATTTTCTACCTCATCTTGCTTCCTCCCCCGCCATGACTCAGCGCGCGGAGCTGCTGCGTGGCGCAGCATACAGCAAGGGCGCGGGCTGGACAGGGCAGGAGAACCCAGGTTGGAAGCTAGCGTGGGGGTAGGGAAAGGAGAAACGAGGGGCCTTGGAGATGGAGACTCCACGCTGCCGCCCTGCCCGCCACTGGCCCAAGATCCTACCCCAAGGTCCCTTCCCTGCGCACGTGTCAAATGGCGCTCACCTGGCACAGGAGGGGGTGGGTCTGCCGGACACGGCGGTGGGTAGGCGAAAGGACAGAAGAGCGAACGCGGCTAGAGTCACCAGAACTCGGTTCTGCGGCGCGTTCCAAAAGAACGCAGCCTATTCAGCAAGGGGGGGGACGAGAGGCGGGGCTCCGGACATTTAAAGGCGCCGCCCCGCCCTCTGCAGGTTTTTTTCCGTGCTAGGACACTAAGCGTCCAATTACAGGCGGGCACTCTGTGCGGCACCGCCCTAAGATGCTCCGATAGGAGGCGGCACTGGGGAGGAGACTAGCGGCCAGAACCCGATCCCTCCTCCGCTCCGCTAGGACGTGACTCGAGCCACATCCCGTGGGTCACAGGGGGCCCTCCCTCCTCCCTCCCCCAGCTCCTGCCTGGCTAGCGCGCGAGCATCGTGACTCAGCCGGAATGTGGGCTGGCGAGAGGGTGGGGGTGTCAGAGTGAAAAGATGGCTGGCCTCCCCTACTAGACCCCCCCTCCAGGCTTCCGGCCTGCGCAGTGGCAACCTGACGTCACTGCGAAGAACCCAGAGGTTCTGCGCCTGCCTGCCTTTAGCGCATGGCTACTGAGGCAGCCAATTCCTCTCTGACCCGACTACCCACAAGGAGCGGGAGAGGGCGACGAAGTTAGCAGGGTACACAGGCAAAGCCTCCTCGTACCAGCGCGCTAGCCACGTCACCGAAGAGTGGCCTAGCCTGGTCCGGGCTAGACTAGCAGACTGGCGGGAATCACTACCCGCTACAACTAAACACCATCTTTGAGAAATCATCGACAGGTGCTGGATCAAGCCAGACTCTTCCCTGAACCTGATTTCCTTCTCCAAAATAAAAATCCGTCTCCTAGCTCTCTGCCACCCACTTACACTCAGAGGACCCACTTCCCTAGGCGCCAATCTGCAACCCCCTTCCTATCCTGGAATCCCGCTAGCGGCCCACCTGTGGCGCAGTGAAAGAAGTCCGCAGAGCCTGGTCAGCTGCGAATGAGACCGGCGGCTCTGGGCTGGGTTATAAGGCCGCGCCTATCCACCACCCCTCCCCTACACACTCCAGCACCGGTGTCCCTTGTCCGTAACCCCTGCCCTTTCCCCACCACGAATCCCGCGGCAGGGACCTATATTTAGGGAAACCTGAGGCTCCTGACATTCATGCCAGCATGGGGCCCCTGAGTCGGGGAAGAAAGAACAAGCTTTGGTTTGCCTGGAGAGGAGGAGGTGCCTCATCCCACTCACCGGTCTTTAGAGGAACATCTTCCATGAAAATACAGTGGTCAAGAGAAATCAATCTCGGGTCTGGGATCTATAAGGCAGAGCAAGAAGGGAAGATTGGTGGTGTCTCTGGAAGCTGCCTCCCACTGACTCCTCCCTTGACTGGACTTGCTGGTGGCTGGGGTTTTTTGTTGTTGTTTTTTTCAGGAGAGCAAATACAGGCAGGATACTCACCTCTTAAAATAACCTGGAGTCTACAGGAAGGGTGTGGCTGGCTGTCCCTATATCTTGACATTCCAGGTTGGCAGAGCCTTCCCATACTGTTGCCTGGGTGAGCAATGTCCTGCATCCTCACCTTCACATATATAGGGGAGGGAGGGGGCGAGGGGTAGGGGCATAGGTCAGAACACCAGCCCCCTTTCCTTCAGGCCCTCCAAAGGAGCTGAAATTCAGCTGTCCAAGGGCTCTCAGAATCCTGTCCTGCAGGGAACCAGGCCCTCCTTTCAAGGCCCCAGGGTATTTAGGCTGGGCCTGCCAGATGTAGTTCCAGTGGCCTGGTGGTGGTGTCCTGAGGAGGGCCATTTCAGAGAGGGCCCGAGGGGCTGGCCACTCCCCAAAGAACAAGCCCCCCAACCCCATCCTTCATCTGAGCTTGATCTCAAAACAGAGGCAGTTGAGGCTCTGGCAGTCCGGAAGCTGGCAGGCACAGGCACAGTCACACAATGGGCAGCATGGAGGGCATCGAGGGGCCCAACCCTGACGGAGAAAAGAAGGGTAAATGAACCAGCGCCAGGACTTGGATCTACTTCCTTCTAATTGGAGAAGGGAACAGAGAGCTTAAGAGGTCCCTCTGTCCAGTGGAACAGAGGGTACCATCCAGCATGTTGAGATTTCAGCAGTGATAGTCAGTACTCTAGCCTACTTCAGTAGCCTCCAAGTTCCAGCACTCAGGGGCTCTATGGCTGAGAAGAGTGGACCAGGGGAGAAGTAGCTTTAGGTCTGGCTAGATTTTGTGTGTCCAGCTCCAAGACAGTTTTTCTCTCCTCTCTGAGGAAGTCGGACATAGGAAGAAACACATCTCCATCCTCATGGAGATAACTTCTGGGTTTGGACTTCTTTGCTGACATCAAACCAAACTGCAAGATGTATTCTTTAAGCCAGGTGGTGGTGGCTCATACCTTTAATAGCACTCGGGAGGCAGAGGCAGGTGAATCTCTGTGAGTTTGAGGCCAGCCTGGTCTATAGAGTGAATTCCAGGACAGCCAGGGCTACACAAAAAGAAAAAAAAAAGTGAAGAAAGAAAAGAAAAAAAGATGTCTTCTTTCCTTTCTTTGATAGGTTCTCACTGTATAGCTCAGGCTAATCTGGAACTATGAAACCAAGTCTGGCCTCAAATTCATGACAATCCTCTTGCTTTAACCTACCAAGTACTTTGGGTTTCTGTTGTTCTTTGTTTGAGACAGGGTTTCACTGTGTGACCTGCCTAGTGCTAAAGCAGGTAGATTTCTGTGAATCTCTGAGGCCAGTCTGATCTACATATTGAGTTCCAGGACATCCAAGGCTACACAACAGCAGTGGTTCTCAACCTTCCTAATGCCTCGATCCTTTAATACAATTCCTCATGTTTTGGTGACCCCCAACTATAAGATTATTTTTGTTGCTACTTCATAACTAATTTTACCATTATGATTTTTAATATAAACATCTGTGTTTTCCAACAGTCTTAGGACTGTTGGACCACAAAGGGACCTCAACCCACAGAATGAAAACCATTGACATAGAGCGATCCTGTAATCCCAGCACTTGGGGAGTGGAAGACAGGAGGATGAGAAGTTCAAGTCAGCCTGAGCTACCGGAGACCTTGTCTCTAAATGACAAAGCAAGACAAACAAACAAACAAATAAATAAATAAATAAAACAAAAAACCCAAGGGGCTGAAGTGATGACTCAGCAGTTAAGAGCAATTTTTGCTCTTCCAGAGGACCTGAGTTCAGTTCCCAGCACCTACATAGTGGCTTAGATCTATCGTAACTTCAGATCCCAAGTTCCAGAGGATCGGACACCTTCTTTTGACTTCTTCAGGCACACACATAGTGTATGGTTTTCCTCAGGCAAAATACTCACAGATAAGATAAAATAAATCTAAAGAAAAAAAAAAAAAAAAAAAAAAAAAAAGCCAGGTGGTGGTACATGCCTTTAAGTCCCAGCACTTGGGAGGCAGAGGCAGATGGATCTATGTGAGTTCAAGGCCAGCCTGGTGTGCAGAGTGAATGCCAGGACAGGCTCCAAAGCTACACTGAGAAACCCTGTACTGAAGTGCCGGGAACTTAGGACCTCATGAACACTAGGCAAGCACTCTACTATTGAACTACCCTGATTGGGGGGGGGGGTGCGGACACAAAAATGAAATGGAAGCTCATGATGATTTGCCCAAAAGAGTACAACCAGAGAGGAACTGGCTTGAACTAGAGTCAGTTTCCCCAGACCTGGGAGTCCCCTGTGCCTACTCTTCTAAGGCAAGGCATGTCGACTTCATTCTGAGCTTCAACAACAAGGACAGTTGGTTTCCTGTTCTCTACTTAGTGTAAGGACTCAAGCTCAGCAGGTGTTTGAGACACAGATAAATAAATGCTGGACGTATGAATTAAGGTAAGCATATCACTTTACCCTCTTTAGGCAAAGGCAGAAGAAGGCCTCTCAACTCCAGGAAAGATGTCTGTCTCATGGACATAATGTCCTGAGAGACAGGAAGGGACATTCAACACTCCAACCCACAGCTCCTTTAGCCTGGGACAGGGATGATCTGCAACTGCCACAGGCATGGATGGGAGGCAGGCCAAGGCACCAGAGTGGACACACCCAGGGTGGCTGTGTGACAGAAGCTCGGCTCCTTGAGGCCACGAGCAAAGCTAGTGACAGCCACAGTTGCACAGTTCCATCAGAATCTGGGCCAAGCCAGGAATAGGGAAATGACCTTTTCAACAGCTGAGGTTTCGGGGTACGGTGTCAGATGACCAGTGAGATCAGCTGTCAGTAGAGGCTCCAGCAAGGGGAGGAGACCAGCCAGCTACAGGGAAAGGGGTCTAAACTGGGCTAGGCTGTGGTGGTGGAAGGGAGAGAAGTGGTTTCTTTGTGTGAAGAGTGGTTTGAGCCTCTCTAGGGATGAAGTAGGGTCTGTGGGTTTGGAGAGGGCCATGCCATCATGCACAGCTACTGGCCAGAGCACTTCACTGCCCTTTCCTCAGAAAAGAGGGCATTAAAAACATCTCAGCTCTGTTCATGGAAGAGTTTAGTCCAACCATTAATAACTGGGCTAATGGATTTCTTGTAGTGCACAAGCAAAGGTTTCTGGAAGAACTCTGCTGTTTAAGTACATCAAACAAGGACTCTGCAGCCTGTCAACCCCTGTGTTCTTGGGTGGGGTTTACCTTGGGACTTTGAGAGAGCCAGACATTTTTTACTGGCTAGTTAGTGCTCAAGCCCTATAGCAGTAAGAAAGACCCAGGTGTGAATTGTGCCTGGCTAAATCATGTTCTGAGCCTCAGTTTCCTCGTCTCTGAAATGGACACAGTACTTACTTTTCAGAGTGTCAGGGGACAGAAATAAGGTCCTTAGTGAGGACTCAGTGAAGAGTGACACTTGTCATCACAGTTCTGGGTTCCCCCTGCAGTTTGTTTCCCCCCATTCACTATGTAGCCCTTGCTGGCCTGGAACTCACTATGCAGCACAGGCTGTCCGCAAACTCCCAGAGATCTATCTACTTCTCCCTCCCGAGTGCTGGAATCAAAGGCATGTGCTACTATGCCCAGCTTTATCAGTAGTTCTTCATTCTAATATACATCAGAATTACAAGAGCTTGTTAGAAAGTACAAATTACAATGCCACCCAGATTTGCTGGTGAGAGGCCTTGGAGACCTGACATGCAAGGCTCCCACTTGTTTCTGGTCATCTAGCTTCATGTCACCTCCTTCTACTCCTAGAACTGTCTACTCTCTGCCCTTCCCCACAATGTAAGCCTGGGAACACAGGGCTTTTTTTTTTTTTTTTTTTTTTTTTTGCTGAGCCCCCATGGTCAACACAAAGCCTCTCACATGGTGGCTCTGGTGTACTATACACAAGAGGTAGGGAAGAAATGAAGGAACTCCATGGTCCTCACAATGCAGTTCAGTGAGCAGGTCTCTCCTACAGAGAGGAAGAGAACCTTGGGTTTGTGGTCTGGCTGGCACATCTGTCTGACCCCAGGCAAATAAGTCCCTCAGTCCTCTGTAAGCCTCAGTGTTTACACTGGCCAAACAGACAAGCTCTGTAAACTTTCTGGCTGTCATTGCCACCATAAGGAACCTGGAGAACAAAGGCACTTCAATGTACTTTAAGGAAAGACAGATCAAGGACAGAACAAGCTTGCCCTACCCTTGGTCAATCTACATCTCTTCCTAGATCCAGCAGAAACTGGACAGGATCAGATCCACTGATGCCCTGGACCAACGAGGAGGGCATCTGTCTTCTCACAGATCCACAAGGTTCTAAAGCCCCAAACCAATGGGTGGGAAACCCTGTCTTCTCACAGTGAACCTAAGCTCAACCTTTTTCCTGAGAAGTTGGATCCCTGATTTGTCACTCACTCCATGTGGACAGATAAGGAAGGAGACAGGGTGTGAGAACCATGAGTCATCCTGTAACTTTTTTTTTTCCTTTGGTTTTTCAGAGCCAGGATTTCACTGTGGCTTTGGAGCCTGTCCTGGAACTAGCTCTTGTAGACCAGGCTGGTCTGGAACTCACAGAAATTCACCTGCCTCTGCCTCCCGAATGCTGAGATCAAAGGTGTGTGCCACCACCACCCAACTATCCTGTAACTCCTTAAGATAGGCATTCTTAGAACCTAAGGTCTCTTTTTCCCCATCCCACCTGGGAGCCCACCTCCTGTCAGTCATGGGAACCAGAAGCAGACTATTTGAAAGAAGACAGTGCATACCCTCTCACTACGAAGCCACAGCTGCCCTGGAACTTGCTATGCAAACCAGACTGGTCTTGAATTGGCACTTGCCTCTGCCACCTGAGGCTAAGATTAAAGGTATACACCACCATACCTGACCCTATTTATTATAATTATCTTTCAATGCAGATTCAAGTTTCTTTATTTTTAATTTATCTTATATGTATGGGTATTCTGGATGCATGGATGTCTGAGCACCACTTGCATGAATGTGGAGAACAGGAAAGGGTTTCAGATCCCATGGACCTGGCGATACATTCTGAGTCTGAATGTGGGTGCTGGGAATCAAATCCAGGTCCTCTGGAAGGGCAGCCAGTGCTCTTAACTTCTGGATCATATCTCCAGCCCTCATACTTATTTTTTGAGATAGGGTAGCTTGCCCATACTGGCCTTGAACTTCCTATGTAGCTTTACCTTGAGCTTCTGATTTTTTTTTTTTTAGATTTATTTTTATTTCACGTGTACGAGTATTTTGACTATGTGCATATTTGTGCACCACATGCATGCCTGTTGCCTGTGGACCAGAAGGCAGCATCCAGACCTAGTTTATATGGTGGTGGGAATCAACCTACCCAGTGTCTCTTGTATACTAGGCAAACACTCTACCAACTCAGCTACATCTCCAACTCTCATAATTTATTTTGAAGCTCAAAACATCTGCCAGTGATTTGTACAAAGTACAGTCAATCCAAGCTATGAATTTGCTTCAGCTCAGTCTGTTACCCACCCTGCTAAGGAAGGTCACCATTCCAAGGACAGGAACTCTGTTTCTAAATCTCTGAACTCAAAATAGTCCCTGTTCAAGAAGGTAGTCGATCACACCTAACATTTTCCAACCCACAAATTTAAAAATTGTCTTCTGTGGATCAGCTTTTCCCTGGAGGATTCTATTGCAGCTTACACTTTGGGTATGGAGTTCTGCTGGGAACGGGACCTCTAAAAGGCAAATATGTCTGGAAGGCTGTGGTCCTAGGCCATTTTTGCTGGCTAGAAATGAGGTCTCCAGAACCAAAGACAGCACATGCTCTTCTTAAAACTGAAGGTAGTTATGGCTGAGATGAAATTTAATTCTGCTTGGGCAAGAGATGCACTTATGTGTGTAAAGCAAGAACAACACACTGACTCCTAGGAGCAAACTGAAGAGCCAGAGTAACCTGGAGAAAGGTAACTCAGACCCATGGAAACAGTGGCAGGGTTCATGTCAAAGTCCAAAGCAACTTTCTTGTAAAGGCCACAGGATCTTGTCTTTCTTGTAAAGACACAGGATCCTCTCACAAATTTAAATTGGCAAAAAGGAAATAGGTAAAAGTGAAAAGAGATTACAGTGTTTGTTGTGTGCACAGCTGAAGTCTCAGCGCTCAGGAGACAGCAGCAAGAGGACCGGGAATTTAAGGTCAGCCTCACATGCAAGACCCTGCATGTTAAGTTGAAATAAATCCTCATCTCTCCGAGTTGCTGGTGAACACAGTACAGTGACTATGACAGTACTATTCTCTGGGATACGTGCTCCCCCAGTGAACAGAGGTGTTAAGCTGAGATCAAAGCGGCCCTGGTCCACATGGTAAGCACTTTACTTCATCCCTGTTTTCTTTAGCTGTCTTGTTCAGAAGTCCTGACTATGAGGCCAGGGGTAGAGGCTTGCACGTGTATCCCAGCATTTGGGAAGCAGAGGCAGGTGGTTCTCTGTGAGTTCAAGGCCAGCCTGGTCTACGTATTGAGTTTCAGGACAGCTAGAGGTACATAATAGAGTAATTCTGTCTCCAAAAAACAGAGAAGAAAAAAAAAAAAGTCCTAATTATGTACCTGGCATGTCACACAAATCATCCTTCTCCAGCTTTCATCCTATTTTCTTTTCTTTCCAGTACCATTAATCACCTGGAACGACTGATATGTTGTTCTGTTGCTTTTAGCTGCCTGCCTATGAAGTGCCTGGTCTAGGGTTAGTGCTCAGTGATAAATGTGCTGAACAAAGAAAACGAAGGCCCAGGCCACACCCAGAGCAGAGAGAGCTGTATGTGTTAGGAATGGAACTCACAGCTTCGCCGGGATGAGGACAGCAGGCATCCAGGTAGTGGGCTGGACTGGGCAGGGGGAAGTCACAGGCTTCTGCGCAGCTCCAGCAACAGTCTTGGGTCTCTGAAGCACTTTGTTTCCTGCAAGGGGAGCTGCAGTCTGTGCAGCAGCCCTGAGCCTAGAGGATGACAAGACTCAGGGTTTGAACCAAAGCAGGGAGGACAGACAACTCCCCTCTTCACTTTCTGGAGGGACAAGGGGAAGATTAACTGGAGACAAGGAGCAAGACTCCCCTGGTCCCACAAAAAGAACAGATGCTCTGACTGAGTGGCAACAGTGTCGAAAGATAAATGCTGGCAAGTGAGGGGACGAACTATCACCAGTTTCTGTCCCCAAGGCCTACCCTTCCTTCCCTCCAGGCTCCTCACCAGCAGGCAGTGCCTAGTCAGCAGCACTAGGCCCAGCAGCAACAAATACACGCCCACAGCGATGAAGACGATAGCCGGGATGGGGAGCAGCAAGGGAGGGCTGCTGATGGAAGCTGGGGCTGGATTCCATGGGCCAGAAGAGGCCTGGACAAGCACAGAGGAAAAGGGATGGGGGGGGGGGGGTTAAGAGCTGTACAGGATGCCAGGGGGCACAGAGCTAGGTGAAAAGTTATAGGGCACCATCCTAACTCGCCACCTTGTCCCCTGCCATCCTCATTTCACTACCAAGTACCTGCTGTCAATTTTGTCTTATCTGTGAATCACTGCCCTCCTTGTAGAATACTTCTCTGCACAGATTTTTGTATTTAACTCCGGTATGACAACCTTCCCGTCCCTCTTCCAACTTGTTTTCTTTCCATATCAGATGCTCAGGCATCTCCACCCGCTTATTTAGGAGACAAAGCTCCCCACCCCAGTCCTGGCTACTCCTTCCCCAACCCCATACCCTTCAATCACAATGAGATCTAAGCAGTTCCCCGAGACTCCATCCTCTCTCTGGCCCCCAGGGCTCTGCCTGTATTGCTTGCTGTCTCTGATTGCTACTACACTATCTTGCTGGAGTCCCCAAAACGTGCCACCTCACAGGAAGGTGTCTCACAGCTCTTGTCAAGAGCCAGAGGAGTTTTTATTGGATAGAAAGTCCCCTCCCCAGTCCGAGCTCAAAGGCAGGAGAGCACAAAGCACTGGACTCACGTCCATGGGGCAGGGTAACACTAGTCCGTCCAGGAGCTGCAGAAAAGAGAAGATTCTGGGCTCAAAGATCGAGTACCCCTTAGGCCCGGGTGCCCAATCTCCTCTCTCCCTGCGTGGGAAACCTGAGGCCCACGGATGGCGGCTGGATAGCCGGGGGTCTCGGGAGACAGCGCCTTCCCTCTGATCGGGCCACGCCCTCCGCGGTCCCCAGGTCCGGGCTCCCTCTGGCCACGCGACCACAGACCTAAACCCTCAGACCTACACCCTCAAGGCCGCGGGCAGTATACAGATTCCGCGCAGCCTTTGGTCCGAACCGCCAAGGCGCCAGCACCGCCCAGAAGCTTGGCGCGGCTTCTTGCCGTTACCATGGGGACCGCATTGCTGCCACTACGGTGGCCGCAGAGACCCAAACTCTCTATTCCCGCCTCACTGTACCCGCCTTGTCTCTAACCACTTACCCTAGGTGATCGCCACCATCCAGGCTTTCCCTCCGGAATTAGAGGGAAATAGCGAATTCTCGCCACTGCTGGCTCAGGAAGGATGCTTGCCAAATGCTGGATGTCGGAAGAGGCAGGCTGGGTCCATTCCCACTTCTGCAAAGGGGGAACTGCCTGCCTCAGACATACTGTGTTTTTAAACTTTATTTCCTGGAGAGGGGCAAGAGAAGGATTAACTGTAGACAAGGAGTAAGACTCCTCTGGTCCCACGAAAAGATGCTCTGACTAAATGGCAGCTGTGTCATTGTGAAGAGACATACTAATCACCAGGTTCCTTGTCCCCAAGGCCTACCCTTTCTTCTCTGCCAGGCTCCTCGTTAATTGTATGAAAGTATCAATATTTTTCAGCCCGTCTCACCTCACCAAGACTTTAGTCTCCCCCTCCACCCCAGCTTTTTGCATTTTATTTCCTTTCCTTCATTCATGTTTTGTGTACTAAGACAACGTCTTAATCTGTAACCCAGGCTGGCCTGAAACTCACACTTTGCAGTGTAGTTTAGCCGGGCCTCACGGCAGTCCGCAATCTCCTAAGAGCCATGCTCATACCTGGTCCTGTTCCTATTCTATGCTGAATTGCCAAAATCCACTGTCTGCAAGATAAAACACAGCTTTAGCAGACTCAACACAATCTACTCAGCATCCTCTGGCTTCCCTCCAGAGCTCCAAGAATAAAGCAAAATTCCTACCTTTCTGAATTCTATTGGAGGACAGGGCATACATACATATAAAAATAGATATGAGGGGCTGGAGAAATGTCTCAGAGGTTAAGAGCACTGGCTGCTCTTCCAGAGGACCTGAGTTCAATTCCCAACATCCACATGGTGGCTCACAACCATCTATAATGAGATCTGGTGGCCTCTTCTGACATGCAGGCATACGTGCAGGAAGAACACTGTATGCATAATAAACAAATAAATAAGTCTTAAAAGAATAAATAGATACGATTTTGTGCCTAATCGATTCTTTCAGTGCCCCACTGAAGGGATGCTGAGCTATGCACAGTCTTGACTCTGAGGCCTTAGAGATGCTGTTCCCTCTGCCTAGAACACCCTTCCCTTTCTTTCTCTTGAACTCCTTCCTCATCCCTCAGGCCTGTGTTCTGCTTTGCCCTTTCAGGGTTTTGCTGCACACTTTAGGCAGAGGCTGCTGTGCTGGGCTCTGCACTCTACAGCCTCATCCCAGGGTAATGAATGTCTCCATGTCTGCCTGCCCCCTGGGTCAGACTGCCTCCTAAATGCTGGGATTAAAGGTGAGCACCACTATGCCTGGCTCCCATGGACTTTCTTATACCGTAAGAAAACTACAGCCGGAGGTGGTGGCACACACCTTCAATCCCAGCAATGGAGAGAGGCAGAGGCAGGTGGATCTCTGTAAGTTTGAGGCCAGCCTGGTCATCAGATTGAGTTCCAGACTGGTTCTGTTATGCCAGGTTTGAGGGACCCCAAACAGACCTCCTCCACAAGGAACCAACACTCTAAAGCAAAAGCAAAGGTTTCTTCATTTTCAAGATGGCAAGCTAGGATCTCACTCCATAGGGAGGAGGTAATACCCCAACCAGAAACTAAGGGAAGCTTTTAAAAGGAAAGACCATAAGGCTGAAGGCCACAAATTACAAAGTTTCCATGGTTACTCAAGGTCATTACAAAGTACAAAGTAAAGCAAAAAGTATATATTTTAGCAAGATACATTTGAGCAAGATGGGGCCGGAGCACCAGGTGTGAGTTTGCCAATTATTTAGTGGTTATCTAGTTTTCTCTAGAACAAAGGAATGTTGACACAGATGGTGGCATAACTCTCTTTCTCTGAGCTGGGCTCAGGCTCCTAGACACATACTCCTGGTTAGGGGTCAAATTCTCTCCACCATCAGAAGTTCCCTTTTTCTCTGTGTAGGTTCAGCAGCCTAAGTCTTTAAACTTTTATTAATTTTAATTTTTGGCCTCTCAGCTCCATAACTACTAAGAAACTGTCTCAAGGGGGAAAAGAAAAATAGAAAGGAAGGAAGAAAGAAAGGAAAACTATAAAAATTATCAGGTGGTGGTGCATGCCTTTAATCCCAAGACTCAAGAAGCAGAAACAAGTGGATCTCTCTGTGAGCTCAGGCCAACCGATCTTTAAACAGGAAGGTAAACAACTCAAAATAGCTTCAGGAAGTCCCTGAATCTGACCAGATTCACCAGGCCTCTACCTGCCAGAGTAAGCCAAGTCCCTATAAAGACAAGCTGTAAAGAAGACCCTGAGACAATAGGTTTAGGCCACCTGAGTCATGTGGGAAGGGTACTCGCCACCCTGCTGAGAGGCCTGCAAACTGTGCAGTGAGCTCCAGGTTCTCAGCTTTTCTGAAGTGTCACCTAACCTGAGGTGGCCTTTGGTGATGCAGCTGTCTTTGAGTCATTTCTGTTCCTGGAAGTACTCCCCACCCATGTTCCTGTAAATGACCTCAATAAAACTCATGTTTCACCAAGTTGGACTTGGACTTTGGTGGTATCCATACTTTAGTCTTTCCTGGGCTGCCTATCTGGGGTGAGTAGCTGTGTGTGTGTGTTTCCACAGGAAAAGGTTTTGTCAGACAACAGCCTCTGGATCCTGAATCCTCCTTCAGCCTTCAATCATACTGACAGGGTCCCAGCTATTCCTTATGCCACCTCTAGCCTTCTCAGGGGTGACTTTGAGCCCAGAGAACAAGTGTCCAGCTACTCCCTATATTCTCTGATGTCAGCATTGTTGATTTGAAGCAGCAGTATCAGATTGCCTCCTTGAGATTCATCCTTTCTTTTGTTTTTTCTTTTGGTTTGGAGGCTAAAGGACCAGGATGAGGCCAGTTTCCATCTCCCCTGTAGGAAAGGCCTCTAATGATACCAGATCCCCCCCACCCCACCCCCGCCTGTCCTCAGCCCCTTCCAACAGAGAGATGTGAGCCTTGGCAAGGGCCCCAGGCACACCCATGCTCTGCAGTGGCCAGACTCACTGCTGTTAGTATTCTGTTCCTACCATTGGCTCCTCCAGTGTGTAGGAGGGCCGACAGTGCACCAGACAAGCCAATAGCAGGGATGATATATGTGCCACTTTGCCAAGGACCCATCAATAGGAGGTAGGGAGATACTGACTTTACTGTAGCCAATAGCTGCCATGCTCCTTCTACCTAAAGTTCAAAGCTGGGGGTGTCAGACAGGATAATGCTGAACTGATCCAGACAAGTGAGAAAAGGATACCATGTTCCCCATCATCATGGGCTGGCTGAGAGATGGGACATCCAGAGGGACCAACAGATGAAAGAAGCTCCGGCAGGCTTGGATGTGACCCTGAAAAGGGAGTCAAGCAAGTATCATTTTGATCTAATAATTTCAATCCCTCCATTGGCTATCTGACAACATTGTCAACTAGATGTTAAGAAAAGGCTCCTGGCCAGGCGAGATGGCTCAACAGGTATACACAGGCATGTCTGATGAACTGAATTCAAACCCCTGAAATCCCTGTAAAAGTGGGAGGAAGAAATGGACTCCTGTGATCTCCACACACATAAGCTCTAGCATGGGTGTATTACACACACATTTATGCATACTCTCTCTCTCTCTCTCTCTCTCTCTCTCTCACGCGCACGTGCACACGCAAGGGGAGCAGGGGGGCTCAGCAGCCCTAATATGAAAATGAGAGCAAACTGATGGTGGTGGCCCATGCCTTTCCTCCTAGCACTCAGGAGGCAGAGGCAGACAAATCTCTGAGTTCAAGGTTAGCATGGTCTACAGCATGAGTTCCAAGATAGCCAAAGCTATACAGAGAAACCTAGTCTCAAAAACCAAAACAAACAAACAAAATGAAAAGCCTTTGTCTAGGACCTTACCATGGGGAATGAAGAAGCTGTGCTTGCACTGGGCTCTCACACATGTGGTCCCAGAACATGGGAGGTAAGATAGGAGGATCATTAGTTTGAGAATAGTCTGGGCTATATAGTAAAACCCTGTCTTTCTATATAGTAAAACTCTGAACAGGGTGGCTCAATGGTAGAAGGTTCTTGACTTTAATCTTAAATGCTACAGAAAACAAGTATTCTAGAACTGGAGAGATGGCTCAGGGGTTAAGAGCACTGGCTGTTCTTCCAGAGACCTGAGTTAAATTCCCAGCACCCACATGGCAGCTCACAACTGTCTGTGACTCCTATTCCAGGGGACCCGACACTCTCACCCAGACATACATGGAGGCAAAACACCAATATGCATAAAATACAAGTAAATAAATTATTTAAAAAGGAAAACAAATAACCAATCATTATTGTCTACAACAGTAAGATCTCATACAGGAACTGCACTTTATGCTTACCTTTTTTAATCATTCCCAGAAGCCCTCTGTAGAGTTCTTGCCAGTGTCCCTATTTGTACATAAGCATCCCAAGGCTCAGGGGAATTGAGCCACACACGTAATCCTGGCAAAGGAGTGGCAAAACCAGGATTCAGACCCAGGCATTATGACAGAGGTCCAGAAAGGTTCTGAAACCTAGCCAAGATCAAACAGACAAGCTATGGAAGAAGAGACTGGTGCATCCATGGTTGTCTGTCCCCACCTCACCTATTGTGCAGCTCTGGTGTAAGCCGAAAGGAGAGGACCAGACCTGCTTGGAACTGTACCAACTCAGGACAGGTACAAACAAAAGAACTAAATAATGAATGCCCTGGCACTGGGCC